CTAATTTTTTGTAGTTTTAGTAGAGATGGGGTTTCACCATGTTGACCAGGATGGTCTCGATCTCTTGACCTCGTGATCCACCCGCCTCGGCCTCCCAAAGTGCTGGGATTACAGGGTTGAGCCACCGCGCCCGGCCTATTTTGTTGTTCTTAAACAAAACGATGGGATCATTCTGAACATACTGTTTTATAGTATGGTCAGCCAATAATATATCAGACCTTTTTTCATATTATTAAATATTCTACAACTTTTAAAAAATGTCTGTTAATATTCCATCATATAAATGTGCTGTAATTTGCTTGGTAGTTGTCTCTTAGAAAGATAGCAAATACTTTTTTTAAATTACAAAAGTGACAGATATTTATTGTAGAAAATGTAATAAAAACTGTTAAGACTTAAAAGCCATATAATTCCACCAACCAAAATTAATTCCTGCCGTCATACTTCTAGTCATTTTTCTAGCCTTTTTTCTATGTATTTATAATTATCATTTGAGTTTTTTTTTGTTTTGTTTTGTTTTTAAACTTTAAAAATGTATATTCTAGGGTCAGGGGAAATGTAATCTGGAATTAAATATTAGCTTTAAAATTCACAATTTTGATTTTCCTGGCTTTTCAGGAATTGACTAACTGTAAAAGGGTCTTGAAAGTATCTGTTGTATTTGGTCAACGTGAAAAGTGCATTTTTTTTTTTTTTGAACTAAGAAAAGCTCATTGTAGAAAGACTGGAATGTGGAATGTACAGAAAATTATTAGAAGAAGGGAACTATTATTAGTCTAGCTTATTTCCTTTCAGTCTTTTTTCAATTTTTTAAAAACATTGAATACTTACCGAATTTAGTTCTGTGCTCTGCGTTATTTAGTATTGTATCATAAATACTTGATGTTTGAACAATTCTAAATAAACAATTTTCAGTGGCTTGATAATATTTCATTTGGATATACAATTATTTAACCAGTTTCTTTATTTTGTTTGTTTTCTTTGAGATGGAGTCTTGCTCTCTCACCCAGGCTAGAGTGCAGTGGTGTGATCTTTGCTCACTGCTTTGCCTCCTGGGTTCAAGCAATTCTGCCTTAGCCTCCTGAGTAGCTGGGAATACAGGCGCACACCACCATGTCTGGCTAATTTTTGTATTTTTAGTAGAGATGGGGTTTCACCATGTTGGTCATGCTCTTCTGGAACTCCTGACCTTGGGTGAGCTGCCCACCTTGGCCTGCCAAAGTGTTGGGATTGCAGGCGTGAGCCACCCTGCCTGGCTTAACCAATCTCTTTGCTTTGGGTATTTAGAGTCTCAGTTTTTTGCTAAACACTTAAGGCCTTTGTGTTTTGGGCTATATTTTGGATTATTCTCATAGATTTCTAGAAGAGCAATTACTGGGCAAATAGGGACACTTAAAATAGCTTTTATAAACCATTGTCTGTTCTCATTGAAAATGAGAATATATTATGCACTTATACACAGGGAACTTGACTTTGCTTTTCAAGAACAGAAGCTCTAAGATACAATAGGGCTGGGTGTGGTGGTTCACCCTGTAATCCCCACACTTTGGGAGGCTGAGGCAGACATAGCTAGACCTCATTTCTACCAAAAAATAGAGAAAATTTGCCAGGCATGGCATTGTGCCTGTAGTCTCATCTGCTTGGGAGGCTGAATCAGGAGGATCTCTTGAGCCTGGGAGGTCAAGGCTGCAGTGACCTATGATGGCCCTCCAACCTGGGCAACAGCCTATCTCAAAAAAAAAAAAAAGTGAATTAATGGTAAGGGAGAAATCCTAGACCTTTTTTTGGAGATGGAGTCTCATTTTTGCCTAGTGTGGAGTGCAGTGGCACAACCTCTGCCTCCTGGGTTCAAGCAATTCTGTCTCAGCCTCCCCAGTAGCTAGGATTACAGGTGCCTGCTACCATGCCTGGCTAATTTTTGTATTTTTAGTAGAGCTGGGGTTTCTCCACGTTGGCCAGGTTGGTCTCCAACTCCTGACCTCAGGTGATTGCCCGCCTCGGCCTCCCAAAGTGCTGGGATTACAGGTATGAGCCACTGCGGCAGGCCTGGAGTGTTAAATCTAACTGGTGTAGTGGAAGCAGCATTGGTTTTGGATTCAAGGAGCTCTTTGTTCAAATCCTATCAGACAGTCTCGTGGAATAGCTTCTTTCTGGTGAGAAACCTAGCCTTCCTGATGTTCGGTTTCCTCGTCTGTACAATGGAAACAAAACCTGTTTTGTGGAGTTGTTCTGGGACAGTGGTTCTCTCGTGTGGTGCCCGGGGCAGCACCAGCAGCAGTGGTGGCCTCAGTGTGACCTGGGAACTTGTCAGAAATGCAAATTCTCAGGCTTCACTCCAGACCTTTCGAATCAGGAATTCTGGGAATAGCTCAGCAAACTGTTTTTACAAGCCCTGCAGGTGATTCTGAAGCTTGTTCAAGTTTGAGACTCACTGGGCTATGGATTAAGCTGAGTGCGTGTGGCAGAACAAGTGCTCCCTGTTTTTGGTTTCTTTATTAAGAGTAAAAGAGGGAAGGAGCTGAAATGGGATAGCTCTCAGATTGCCTCTTTCCCTTTTTATGTGATTCTCATTTTTAGCCATGGAATTCGGGGAAAGAGGAACTATCTGTCACAAACTGTCCCAGTAGTCTTCCAGATTTCAATTTGGTTTGGAATGAAAGTCTCACGAAGGCACGGACTTTGTTTTCTTCCTCATGTATGGCATGGAGCAGGGGTCCCCATCCCCCGGGCCACAGATCAGTATCAGTCTGTGGCCTGTTAGGAACCAGGCTGCACAGCAGGAAGTGAGTGGTGGGCCGGCAAGCTAAGCTTCATCTGTTTTTACAGCCGCTTCCTATTGCTTGTGTTACTGCCTGAGCTCCACCTCCTGTTAGATCAGCGGTGGCGTTAGATTCTCATAGGAGTGCTAACCCTCTTTGAACTGCACATGTGAGGGATCTAGGTTGAGCGCTCCTTATGAGAATCGAATGCCTGCTCATCTGTCACAGTTCCCCATCACCTTCAGAGGGGACTGTCTAGTTGCAGGAAAACAAGCGCAGGGCTCCCACTCATTCTACGTTATGGTGAGTTGTATAATTATATATTACGATGTAATAATAATAGAAGTGCATGATAAATGCAATGCGCTTGAATCATCCTGAAACCTAGTCTGTGGGAAAAATTGTTTTTGAGGAAATCATTTCCTGGTGCCAAAAAGTTCGGGGACCACTGCTGCTGGCAGAGTAAGGGCTTGGTCTGTAGGCACAGGCTGATACTACGTTTGGAAGCAAGATGCTGGATTCCTCCGTGCCTCAGTCTCCTCATCTTTAGAGTGCGATAGTAACATGAGTCAATTCATATAAAGTATTGAACACAAATAAGTGTTTTTACTGGTCTAGTGCCCACACTGCTTGGCACTGGGCAAAAGATGAAGACACATTTAAGAATGAACACACTGACTCATTGAATGATATATGTTTTCAAAGTAGGAAGTAGTAACTTTTTCAAAGATGTAGATAGCAAGACTTAGCGAGGCTAAGCGACATTTCAGCTCGTAGAGCTAGTGGGCAGGGCAGTGATTAAAGTCAGGTTTGTGAAGTTTCAACATTTCTATTATTTTCCTGATGTCATATTCTTGATGGAGAAGGCAAACTGATCAAGTGACAGTAAAATAGAAACATTAAAAGACAGCGGAGAGAATAGAGGAAGAAAATATTTATTTTTTGAGACAGGGTCTTGCTGTGTCACCCAGGCTGGAGTGCAGTGGCATGATCTTAGCTCACTGCAATCTCTGCCTCCTGGGTTCAAGTGATTCTCCTGCCTCAGCCTACCGAGTAGCTGGGACTACAGGCACATGCCACCATACCAGGCTAATTTTTTGATTTTTAGTAGAGACGGGGTTTCACCGTGTTGGTCAGGGTGGTCTCAAACTCCTGACCTCAGGTGATTGGCCTGCCTTGGCCTCCCAAAGTGCTGGGATTACAGGTGTGAGCCACTGTGCCTGGTCAAAAAGTGGATTTAAAGACCAGAAAGGAGTTAAGCTGATGGAGCCTTGGGTCTCTCTGGCTTGCCTCTGTTTCAGGCCAGAATCTCCTGTTGTTTCAGCTATGGCT